AGCATTACAGGAGCCTGTGGCCTATGCATTCACTGGATAGATACTTTTTAAGTGCCTAAATGCTTGCCCTATGACCAGCACTGTCCTAGGCTCTGAGGATACAATAGGAAACAAATACCATGACACTTCTCTCAAGGAGTACTAGAATTCAGTGCGCAAAGACAAGCATTAAACATATTATGGTATTTAAGTCCTGGCTATCAATTCAACCCTCCTGGCATTGACTGTATCCTTGCTGTATCACAGACCCCATATGTTTTGAAGAATTCTCTACCTTTCTCTACCTCCAGGACAGCCTTTCAACCCTCACTTCAAGATCAACAATGCAGTTTCAAACATTATTTGCTCTATCACCTTTGGGGAGCGCTTTGAGTACCAGRATGCTCAGTTCCAGGAGCTGCTGAAGTTACTGGATGAGGTCACRTTTCTGGAAGCTTCGAGATTCTGTCAAGTAAGCAGTCATCTTCTATATGCTGGTTAAGGCCATTGGGGCTGATCTCATATACACATAGCTGCTGCTGCTGCTGCTTCTTTTAATTGAAATGTAATATTTTTAAATTAATTTAACAAAAACTTACTTGAAATCAGCTTTTTGACTTTAGTGTTTTTAATAATGTTGAAAATTTACCAAATGCAAAAAACATTTCTAAGATTCCTATAGAGTACAAAATTATACAAGACATACACTTACGTACCTGTGTTGTTCTTTTTCAAAAGAACATATTGCCATTGCCCTTGCCTTTGAATCTCTCCTCTACATGTTACTTTTAAAATATCCATTTCCTTCCTGTCTCAAACACCCTTCTGAGTGCAATTTCTCTCCTGGTATGTTGTTTTAAGATTCGCCTGTTTTGGTTGCTCTTCTTCTTTTTTTTTTTTTTTTTTTTAATGCAGACTAGCTTTGTCTTGTATGAACATGCCCCTCTTTGTTAACCTATTTGCTATTTTTGGAAAAATTTTGGACAAATTTTTGGACAAAAGCTTATCCAGCTTTTATGTTATGAATAGAGCTGCCACCAATATTCTTTTACTAGTATTCATGTGGACACAGTCATTTGTCTTGAATATATATCTGGGCATAAAACATAACTAAAGATTTCAGAACTAGTTACACTATTTACATAACCATCAGCACTTGATACTATATATATATATAGTATGTACCATATACTATATACTATATTCTACTTCTCTAGGCCCTTATATTTTAGATGTTTTCTTTGTAAACAGCATTAAAATGAATATAAACTTTGTACCAAATTTGACATTATTTTTCTTTTTATTGGAGCACTTAGTTTCTTCTATCAAATTTACTGACAAATGAAAACTAATTCATGATCACTTTGTGGCTTCTATTTTTACTATGTTTTGACTCATTATTATTAAATTTATTTTATTTTTTCCTATATTCATTTAGAAGATTAAGATTTTTCTATTTCTTTAGTCTTTGCCTTAAAATTATTATTATTATTATTATATTAGTCTTTACCCTAAATTTTTTAATATGCACAATTAACTGCCTGCATCTGAGATTAATACCTTTGTGGTCTGCCGAAATAATACATGATCTTCAGAACACACCTCTTGTCACTCCTTTAGGTCACTGTCATCACGTATTTTAGTTTGTTCTTTTTTTTAACTGGAGAGTACGTGATCATTATTGTTTCATCCAATGTCTGCTTATATTTACCTATATATTTATCAGTTTCTATTTTTATCATCCTATCTTGGATGTTAAAGCCCCCTCCTGAATTTCATTTAGTGGAGATCAATTGATGGTAAATTCTTTTGRATTCAAAAAGATCTTTACACTGTGATTTACTCTAACACAGGAAATCTGTCTAGAGATTTCTATCAAGAGAATGACCATGAGCCAAGTTAAACATTTCCTAGGAGAGCCCTGACCAGCAGGAGGGTTAGGATTAGGGCTGATTAGGTAAAACACAGTATAGAAGCTCATGAAATAACCCAAGCAAGATACTACTCCTAAATCCTGAGAGTGAGAGGCCCACAAGGACCAATGGGAGATCTGGGAATGGGAGGGTCTCAACCAATGGGTGGAGAGAGAGAGAGGCAGAGGGACAGAACCTGTGAGTCCAAGCCTTCATTAAAGGCCATGGTGGTCTCTCAGGCTTTCCCTGGGGGTGGTCAATTGCTAGCTTAAAGAAAACACTCTTGGGCTTAAGATGGAAACATGTTTAAATGACTCCACTATTAACCATTATGTGTATTTCATGGTCAGCAGCTGTGGGATGTGTTGCCATGGGGCCGGTAATATGAAGGATAAGCAAACTGTATTATTATCACAAAGGAAGGAGAAGTTTAACTAGGCCAAAGGCTGTGGTAAAATGAGGTTTTACGTGACTCATGTCAAATTGAATGAGTGCCAAGGCAGCAAGTGTATTAAACAAACTTACAATACTTTATTTTGCTTAAATTAAATATTTAAAAAATTTTGACTTGGGCTGGGGATATGGCTCAAGTGGTAGTGCGCTGGCCTAGCATGCGTGAGGCATGGGGTTCAATTCTCAGCACCACATAAAAATTTTTAAAAAAGAGAGAGAGATTGTATCCACCTAAAACTGAAAAATAAATACTTTTTAAAGAGAGAGAGAGAGAGAGAGAGAGAATTTTTTAATATTTATTTTTCAGTGGACACAACATCTTTATTTTATGTGGTGCTGAGGATCGAACCCAGTGTCCCATGCATTCCCGGTGAGCGTGTTACTGCTTGAGCCACATCCACAGCCCCTGAAAAATAAATATTAAAAAAATTTGACTCTTCTCTTTTGCATAATGAAAATATTMTTTCAGCATCCTCTAGGTTTGCACTGGTGCCAGRGAGAGTCAGCTAGAAATGTGACTGCTATTTCATCAAAACTACTTTTTCCTTTTCTCTGGAAGCATTTTATATGGATGCATTAATCCTCTGTGGTTGGACTGTCCAGTGGAATGTGGCAGGGAGGGATAGAAAGGAGGTGGTGAGGTTGAAGGGACCAACTCTGTAGGGCTTATAGGTCAGAGAAATTATGCCAGACTTTATCAAGGATAGTGGAAAGCCATTGGAGGATTGAAAGGTAAGGAATCAAACTGTTAAATGATACTCCAGCAGCTCTGTGGAAAATAGTCTGGGAACAGGGTTAAGAGTGGAATAAGGAAATTGCTGAAAGCTATGGCAGCATTTGGGTAGGAGACAGTGGTGGTTTCTTGTGGGATGGCAAGTACTTGGACTGATGAGAAGTATGTGGAGGGTTGAATGCCTGCCAGAGTGGCTAGAGAGAAAGGAGAAGACAAGGATGACTCCTCAGCTTAAGCATAAGCAAATAAAAGAGATGGAAAGAGAAGACTGTCCCCAAAAGTGCAAAAGTGGCCCCATGCTGTCTCCATGATCATTCTGGTTTTTTGCCATTAGCTCTACAATGTCTTTCCATGGATAATGAAATTCCTCCCTGGACCTCATCAAACTGTCTTCAGGAACTGGGAAAAGCTGAAATTGTTTGTTTCTCATGAAGTTGAAAAACACAGGAAAGACTGGAATCCTGATGAGTCAAGAGACTTTATYGATGCTTACCTCAAGGAAATTGTGAAGGTGAGGAAAACGAATTTGTCTCCTTTGTTGTTTTTTCTTAAAGAACAAATAGCTGTATATTAGTTTCCAATAGCAGCTGTAACAAGTTACCACAAATTCATTGGCTTAAGATGGTACAGATGTGTTGTTTGTTTTCTTACTGTTCTGAATGCTAAAAGTCCAGTTCTGAATGACAGAAGTCAAACTGCAGTTTCACTGGGCTAAAGTCAAGGTGTTGGCCAGCTTAGATCCTATGWAGTCTCTAAGACTTGTTTTCCATGGCTTGCCCAGCTTCCAGAGGCTTTGGTTTGTGGTTCTTCCTCCATCTTTAGCACCAGGGTAGCATCATCTCTCCTCTCTTGTCTCCCTGCTTCTATCTTTACACTTTCTCTCTCTGACTTTGATCTTCTTCCCTCTATCTTGTAAGGGTAATACAGGACAATATTCCTAACTCAAAACCCTTAGGTTTAATCACATCTGCAAAGTCTCTTTTGCTATATAACTTAACTTACATGGGTTCCAGGGGTTTGCGTGTGGTCATCTTTTTAGATAATGGTTCAATTCCTATAGGTGACTAAAAATTACTCAGGATGCTGAGGCACTTTGAAATAAAGACAAAAGTTTAATGGCATTTGGTTTTAGGCCCTGAAAATGCCCCAATACTCCCTTTTCATCCCCATCACCTTCTCCTACCTACCTGTACCTGAAGAAGCTATATACACAAGGGAAAAGAGAAATTGAGCTTCAAAGCTCTGTTTTAGATGATCTGGCCAGTAACCTACTCCTCCTCTCAGCTGTCACTGCAGAGAATACAAGTAAAGCTGAACTGGATACCAGATTTTAACCTTAAGGTCTGAGTGGGGCTCCTACTCCCTCCTCTTCTCACCCACTTTCCAACTTTTCTGACAAGAATCAGGAAAAAAACCCTAAGTGGATACAGGCCTTGAACGTGGTGGTCCTGTGGCTAATGTACATCACTGAATCAATGTTATAATCTTTGACTCATCAGATCATGTATTCCTATATCTGGAGGGGGCAGAATGGTGAATTTCTTTCCATCTTAGCTCTTATTTCACCTTATTGGGAAAATATTCATAAAATTAATATTAATTTTAATTTTGGAATTAAAATTTGAATGCCTGCCAGAGTGGCTAGAGAGAAAGGAAAAGTCAAGGATGACTCCTCAGCTTAAGCATAAACAAATAAAAGAGATGTACCCCATCTCTTCCGTAGAGGAGGAGACTTTATCTGCTAGATGGTGTACAGGTGTGTGACCATTGACATTAACAGCAATGTTGAAAAACAAGCTTTCAAGAAGAAGGTAGAAAAGATGATGGAGTGTTATAAGGAACAGTTGATGGAATCTATGAGGTTTAAACTACAAAAGCTGAATGGGAAGATATGATAAATGTGCATTTCAGTTTATACTTTCTGGTATCGGCACAAACATTCATTGAGTATTTGCTATATCCCTTTTGCATACCACATAAATTATTATGCCATCTTAAGGCATGCTTCTTACTCCCATTTGATAAAGCAGGAAATGGAATTACAGAGATGTTAAATAACTTATCCTAGGTCATATAGCTAAGTTGATCTAATGAATGATGGGGTTGATATTGGAAGCCAAGTTATCTCATTCATAGCCATTCTCTTTCCACTGTACTAATAGCTTCTCCTGAATTACAGGCATAAAAAAAAGTGGTTGTTTTGATTTTTATCCACTACDATCTAAAAAGTTTCCAGCACTTCCTGTTACCTACCCCTTTTCTCAGGCCCCATTACAGACAATGTTAATGATATCGCTGCCCTCTAAGGAGGGATTTTCCCCTTAGGAGAAAGTCATTTCTTCTGAGGACTTTTCCTTCCAAGTTCTTTCCTTTGAATGAAACCCCAGTGGTTTTTTTTTTGTTTTTTTTTTTTTTGGCAACCACAAGTCCTCTGAATAAATCAACAAATAACTGTCCTTCTAGTACACAGACAAGAATGCTTCAAGTTTCGATGAAGAGAACCTCATCTGCAGCACCCTGGACCTCTTCTTTGCTGGAACTGAGACAACTTCTACAACACTGCGCTGGGGTCTGCTTTACATGGCCCTCTACCCAGAAGTCCAAGGTGAGAGTCACAGCGAATGTGCCTGGCCCAGGACACATGGTACCTCCTGGCCACATGGCACCTCCTGGCCATATGGCTCAAGGTTGGGCAGAAGCTGGCTGGGTGAGTAGGGAAAGACACAATAGTCAGGAGGTGGTGCAGTCTTGAGCGTGCACACATCCATCACTTTATAGACAGGAATGTGAGGGGTCCAGGTAGGATAAGTGTTAAACTCCCTGTGGGCGAGAAGCTCAAGGTCTAGGAGAAATCAATGAGGCCAACTGACTTTGTAATGGGGTCCAGCAAAGAGTTACAATCTCATATATATGAGTATTTATTCTTCCATTCTTATCAGCAATCCCTTCCTCTTTCCCCCTGATAATGCCCAGACACATATTTGTTACTGTTTCCTTTTTCTTTTTTTCCAGTGTTGAGCCTCAAACCCAGGGCCTCATGCTTGCAAGGCAAGCTGTCTGCCACCCCACAGAGCCACATCCCCATCCCTTTCTAGACTCCTTAGTCTGGTAATAATGCCCTCTGATGTGCCATTTTCTGCCTGTCCTGCCTCAGCTTCACCCATCCTGCATTGGTGATTTCACTGAATTCTGTGTCATTTTCTTGACACTGTCCTAAGTGTCTGAATCACAATATTTGGTCTTCCCTCTGTCAAGAACATGCTTTCTGAGTTTCTCCACATGCTGAATCCCCAATTCTTCTAAAAGAATTCTTCCAAAGTTACTACCTAAGATGTGTCTTCATTCCTGCACAAAATTGCTAGCTTAGAACTGTTTGCCATTTCCTTCCTCCAGAGATGACCAGGGCACCTCTATTGCTGTGCACATTATATATGGATTCCCCACAGACTGCCATCCTTTCAAGAACAATGGCTATTCCCAACATTTTTATTTCTCCAGGTTCTAGAACAGTTTGGGCAGGTGGAGTGTGGAAACAGTCATGGAACCGTTTCTCGAACTGTGCGTAACAATTTATTAATGAGGCATAAGATCAATTGAGTAGATCAAGGTCAATGCCCCCACTCCCCCAAAATAAAAATAGAGAAGACTGAAGTTCTTGCCATCTACTAAGGATATATTTGATAATAAAACTTTACTTCTCTCACATATTAATTTACAAATGCA